TTTTGGGTCCTCTGGGATCCTCCTGGGGGCCTCTTGGGGCCGAGGGCCCGAAAAGTCCGTTCGGATCCCCCGTCTGGGTCCCTTCATTGGAGCCGTCTTGGGTCTTGGGGCCCCTTTGGGCCGTCTTGGAGGCCTCTTGGGCCGTCTTGGGGCCCTCTTGGAGCGAAGATCTGAGGTTCTCCTTTCACGTTCTCCTTCTCGGGCCGCTGTCGGAGCGCGTCTGGGGCTCCTCGTGGAGCCCTTCCGGGTGTCTGGGGGCATCCACAGGCCTTCGAAGCCCATCGGCAATAAACAAGCGAGTTCTTGAATCCTGCACGGTTTTCCATAGGTTGTTGAACATTTTCAGCTCTCGGGGCCATTTTGGAAGCCTCTGGGAGCCTCTTCTGGACCTCTGGGTAAAAGCGTCTTGGAGACCCTTGGGCACATCTTCGGGCCAGCTCGGACCATCTTGGCGGCCGCTGAGCCGTCTTCAAGCCATCCCGGGTCGTTTTGGAACCATCTTGGGAGGCTCTGGAGCGCTCTTGAAGCCGTCCTGGAGGCGTCTGGGGCTCCTCATGGAAACATCTGGACAGTTCGTTCGCAACTCGCGGCAGGTATCTCGGGGGCCTCCTGGAAGCAGTTCCGAGGTCTTTTGGGGCCCGTTTCGGTGCCTGTCGGGGGCCGTCGTGGGGCCTCTCAGGGGACCTCTCGGGGGCCTCTTTGGGGCCTTTTGGGAGCCTCTTGGGAGCCTCTTGGGAGCCTCTTGGGGCTTCTTTGGGGCCTCTGGAGGCCTCCTGGGGGCCTCTTGGCGGCCTTTTGGGGCCGAGGGCCATTGGATCCCCCGTCTGGGCCCCTTCTTGGAGCCGTCTTGGAGCCCTCTTGGGCCGTCTTGGAGGCCTCTTGGCCGTCTTGGGGCTCTTTTGCGCCGCCTTGGGGGCCTCTTCGGCCGTCTTGGGGCGATCTTGGCGGCCTCTTGGGCCGTCTTGGAGCGTCGGGAAGCCGAAAGGGCGAGAACCCAAAAAACCGTCTAAGACCTTCGCCCCCAAAAAAACAGCAACGTTTGCGTTTGGGGGCCATCTTGGGAAGCCTTTTGGAGGCATCTCGGAACGTCTTGGAGGCCTCTTGGGCCGTCTTGGGACCGTCTCGGGCGTCTTGGAGCGATCTTTGGCCGTCTCGGGACCCTCTTGGACCATCGTGGGGACCTCCTGGAGCCGTCTTGGAGGTCTCTTGGGCCGTCTTGAGGCCCCTTGGAGGCCCCGGGGAGGGGGTAATAAAAAGAGTCCGCAGATGGTTGCGGAGTGGCCGACCCCGGGCAGGGGGGGGCCTATTCATGTTAACATCATCGAATTACATTGTATTTCTATATCTCTATATATATATACACACACTAGAACCATCGCGCGCCTCGCGCGCGCTCAAATTCTAGCTAGACTGGATGGTCGAACACTTGGGGATCTCTACTCCATTACACTTCTTCTCTGAGGCTTCCAACAACCACGAAGACAGCCGAAGTGGCTGTCAAGACTTCCCACGGTCCACCTACGACGGCTTAAGACAGACCCAAAAGGCACTTCGGGGGCCCATTTATTCGCCGCGGCTGGACGTAACCAGAGGAAGAGGGAGGAGAAGGGGAGGTGAAGGGGGGAGAAGGAGAAGGAGGATGAGGAGAAGTTGGGGAGGGTGGAGGAGGCCGCAGAGGAAGAGGAACCGGAGGAGGAGGAAGAGGAGGAAATATGAGATTGTCCTTTTTTGCCAGCGTAGATAAGCTGCCAGGCGAATTGTAAAAAGTTGGACTTCCCTTTTTGTCAAGTACCATCGGGGCCTCTTTGGGGCTTCTCGGGGACCTCTTGAAGCCTCCTGGGGGTCTCCCGGGGCGAAGATCTCGGGTTCTCGGCTCATGTTCCCGATCCTAGGCCGCGGTTGGAGCCCTCTCGGGCCGTCATGGGCATCTCTTCGGCGCTTTTGATGCCTATTGGGCCGTCTCAAGGCGCTTTTGAAGCCTATTGGGTGGGCCGTCTTGGGGCGATCCTCGGAGCCTCTTGGGGCGTTCTGCAGCGTCGGGAAGCGGAACAGGCGGAAACGCCAAAATGGTTCAAAAACCTATGGAAAATCCGCCGACCCTGTCGGCGTGTGCGAGGGGCTTGGCTGTTCGAGTCGTCGTCTCCGTCGGTCGTCGCCTCCGTCGTCCCCTTTCCCTGCAGCTTCCTTCTCAAGCTCGTGAGCGAGAGAAAAATCTAGCAGTGTCGTAATCGAGTCGAAGGGAAGCCCCTTCCCTTCGATCCCTTCCCCAGGGGGGGGGGGTCCGGGGGGGTCCCGGGGGGGGTCCCGGGCCGGGGGGGTCCCGGGGGGGGTGGGGGGGCAGATTCGTTTTCCCTCGGGCGGCCTAGAAACCTCGAAAACACTCCAAATGAGGTCCGAATGCCCAAGATGGCCCCCGAGACGGCCCAAGAGGGCCCCGAGTCGCCCAAAGATCGGCCGAAAACGCCCACGATAGCCCCAAGACCGTCCAAGAAGCCTCCAAGACGTCCCAGGCCCCCTCCAAGAGACCCCCAGGAAGCCCCAAGAGGCCCCCACGAGGCTTCCAAGCGGCCCCTGAGAGCTTCCCAAGAGGCCCACAAACTACCCCCAAGAGGCCCCCAAGAGCGCTCGTCGTCGTCGTCGTCGTCGTCGTCGCCATTCAGGGTCGGCGGCACGGGCCGTAAGGCCTTAGCAATAAATGTTTTGGGGCCTCTTCGAGCTCTGTTGGGAGACCTCTTTGAAGCCTCTTGGGTATCTTGGGGGCCTCTTGGGCCGTCTGGAGGCCGTCTTGAACGTCTTGGACCATCTAGTGGCATTCGGGCTATCCCGCCACCGTGGCTGGGTTGTGGGTTAGAGGCCTCTTGGAAGTTCATTTGGAATTCATGGGAGGCCTCCTGGGGGCCTCTTGAAGGCAGTTTTGGAGGCCTCTCGGGAGCCGTTTGGGGTTCTCTTGGGGCCTCTTTATGGGCCTCTTTCGGGCTTCGTGGGGCCTCTAGGGGACCTCTTGGGCTCACTTGGGGGCCTATTGGCGCCTCGTGGGGGTCTCTTGGAGCGGAAGGCGCGAGTTGTCGGTTCGTGTTCCCCCTCTTGGGCCCCTCTTGGGCCGTCTTGGGGCCTTCTTGGGCGATCGTGGGCGCCTCCTGGCCGTCTTGGGACTCTCTTGCGCCGTCGTGGCGCCCTCTTTGGGTGCCTCTTGTGCCGTCTTGAGTTGATTTCTGGGGCTTCGTGGGCTGTCTTGGACCGTCAGAAGCACGAAACAGCGAGAGCACGAAAAACCTTCAAAACACTCGAATAAACCTTGTTGATTCGCCTCCTGAGTGCCTCGTGGGGATCCTTTTGAGGACATCTTGGGCATCGTGAAGCCCTCTTGGGCTGTCTTCAAGCCATGTTGGACCAATTTTGAAACGCTCTTGAGCGGTCTTGGGCTCTCTTGGAGCGCTCTTGGGCCACCTTGGCGCCCTCGTGGACGTCTCTCGGCCCATCCAATCGCCCCATTTCTGCCCATTTGATGTTTTTTTGGCGCCCCCTGCTGGGCCCGAAACGGCTCGAAGAGAAAAATCAGTACACCCCGGGCCCCGCGGGACCCCCTCGCCGCATATGTATAGATATATAGTCATACATACATACGTACATACATGCATGCATGCATTCATACATACATGCATGCATATACACATACACGTATATATATGTGTATCTATACATACATAAACATGTACATATGCACACACGTACATACACCTATATGTATATGCGTATACACATACGCATATATATATACTAACATACATGTATGTCGATGTATATGTGCATATCTACATATAGAAATACATATACCTATACGTGTACGTGTACATATATGTATACATATACACACATACCTACATACACATATACATACATATACACATGCACGTGTATATGTATATATATGTCATTCATATATATATATATACATATGCATAAACATATACATGCACATGTACATATACATATACATATGCACATACACATACATATACATATGCATACATAAACATCTACATACACATATGTATAAGAAGATACGTATAAATGTGTGTACATATAGGTGTGTGTAAGTATGTATGTATGTGTGTAAGCATGTATATGTATGTATGTATGTAAGCATGTCTGTGTAAATATGTATGTATGTAGATGTGTATGTATGTATGTGTGTTTGTAGGTATGTATGTATGTATGTGTGTATGTATGTATGTATGTGTGGATGTGTGTATGTATGTGCGTATGTATGTGTGTATGTATGTACGTAAATATATGTATGCATGTATGTATGTCTGTATGAATGTGTGTATGTATGTAAGTGTGTACTTATGTATGTAAATATGGATGAACGCATGTATGTATGTATGTGTATGCATGGTTGTATGCATAGATGTATGTATGCGTGTATGTATATGTGTATGTATGTGTGTATGTATGTGTTTATGTATGTGTGGATGTATGCATGTATGTATGTGTGTATGCATGCATGTATGTCTGTATGTATGTATACACACAAACATGCATACGTACATACATATGTGCATACATGCATACATGCATACATACACACATGCATACATGCATACATACACACATATCTGCATACATGCATGCATGCATGCATACATGCTTGCATTAGACATGCATACAAACATACATATATATACCGACCTATCTTCCTGCCTACATACATACATACATGCATACATACATATCATCCAGGCAATTCGCCAAACCGGCAGCAGTGAAACACGCGTGTCAAGCTCTGAATCCTCGCTGAAACTGTGTATCAACAGAGCTGAAATACACGTGCGGCGCGCATGTCCCTCCCAGGACAAGGTCTTGGAATGCTCAGAAGTAAAACTGCTGCAACAGGTATGCTGTTCTGCAGAATGTGCGCAGCAGATGCAATGTGGTGCTGAATTGTGGCTCATCATCGCGTCCTGTCGAGGGGACCAGACCGCAGAGGGGGGCCTGGCCTCTGCTTCCCGCGGTCCCTGCTCGGGAACGCTACGATGTAGTGCTCCGGGGAGACCTCCCAGCCAAGGCAGGGGGGGAGAGGAGAGGGGGGGAACGTGTAAAAAGGGGGAGAAGGGAGGGGCGAAGAGAGCAGGACTGGAGCGGAGCGGAGCGGCGCCGATGTCGCCCAGAGGGCGTCCCGTGTAGGGAACGGCAGGTGCGCCGGGGTGACTCAGTTGGGCCTGTGAATGTACATGGAGTCCATATGCCTCCACATCTCGTGATCGCAGGCAAGCGTTTCCCAGTCCCAATCTTCATGACAACTTCGCACTGCCGAACAGATGTCGTCGAACCACTGTAACCTAAGAAGTTGTGGTAGTCTCCTGGGACGTGCATCGCAGCAGGGTGGGTCCATCGCTACTTTTCCTCTCCACTTCGCGTTTTTCTTGCACCCGTTGACATACACAGCGCCATTTCTGTCGTCTGTCCACTGTGAATCTCAATTCGTAGCCTGCTTGAAAAATATTGTTTTACCGTCTGCGTTGCTCGTCTGACCCACCCGTGCCATAGCTCGAAGTATGTAGTAGTAGTAGCCGTAGCTGAACCAGAAGACGAGTATGCTGAATGTGTGTCTCTGTCGCTGTCGCTGTCGCTCTCTGCTGGTGTCGTGTCAGCGCTGTTTCTGCCATCGGCATGGTACGCATCCCCGGTGTCCGCCGCGTCAAGAGGGAAGAAGAGGAGAAGAGAGGAAGAGGAGAAGAGGAGGACTTGAGGAGAAAGTCGAAAAGAGGGAACGGGGAACGGGGCAGGGGAAAGGGGGGCAGAGGGAGAAGGGGAGAGCGGAGGGAGAGAGGGGGAAGAGGCAACTTGGCGGCCACAAGGGGGGGATCCCGAGATCAGAAGTGGTCTAGTCTCCCACTTCCCTCATCCCTCCTCCTTTTCCTGCTCCACCCAGATCCCGTCCCTCCCTCTTCCCTCCTCGCCCTCCTTCCTCCATCTTCGCCCCTCCCTCCTCCCTCCTCCTCCCCCTTCATCCACTTCCGTTCCCCCCCCCCTTCAGCCATGTCTCGAGGGGAGCTTTGCGGCGGCGCCAGAGAATCGAGCCAGACTGCCCCTAAGCCACGAGCTGCGGTCGCCGAGACCGCTTGGGAGCCCCCCGACCCTCGCCTGCAGGACAGGAGTTCGACAAGCGGGGAGGGGTGAGCTGGCGGTAGCCCGCGAGGCGTCGGCGCGAGGGGGGCGGCCTACTAAGAAGGCGGAGGGGCTTCTGAGCAGACAGGCGCCGTGTCACAGGCCGCCCGGGGGGCTTCTGGGTAGGCTTCTTGGAAGCCTGGCGCGCGTCTAGGTAGCCCCCCTGCCTTCTCAGAAGCCACGCCGCCTTCTCAGAAGACCGCCCCCCTTTCGCCACCCCCCTTGTGGGCGCTGCCAAGAGACGGGAGGGGTGCGGCGGGTTCGTAGCGTGACAGCCCCCGCGCCGGCTTCTGACACCGCGTGGATTGTTCAGTGCTGAGCGATCGGCGGCTGCTTCATCGCCAGATCGTTCCATGCTGGCCGGTCATGGGCCACCAGCGGCGTTCAACTTTGAACGCCCGCGCTGGGGTCGCAGACGCGTTGACACGAGGGGGTGGAGGAAGTCGATTCGGAGGGGGACGGGGAGAGGGGGGGAGGGAGTGATGAGGGGAGACGTTGGAGGGGGGCTAGCTCAGGAGTCAAACATCGACCTGGAATCGGCGATAGGCCCCCAAAAAGCGGTTCCCCACGTTCCCAGACGAGGCGGGATATCACGACCCTATCAGCGATGAATGGACGATCCCAGACATACAAAGTCTTGAGTTTCTCAAGACGAGGTCCCCCGAAGTCCCGACCCTTTCCCCAGGCACGACTCCCCGTCCTAAGTCGTTGTTTGATAGTCCCAGGGCCCAGCGAGGGCCCCCAGATACTAAAAACTATGAAAACCTCCGCCTTGACTTTCTCGAGACGTTGGAGGTCTGGGATTGGGGTCGATGAATTCCCCCCTGAGCCTATCCCCCCACCAGCGTTGCCCCTGGAGTGACGGCTGGCAGGGGGCGCGGACCACGCGGTGCCCGCCCTCGGTGTCGCAACTAAGCTCGAACTGCACGAAGCCGGAGGCCTGCCAGGGTCAGCTCCACCGGGGAGAGGGGGGGGAGGAGGCGAATCCTTCCGGCACCAAAACGCTGGGCCGGGGGTTGCCAGTCGAATCCGTCCCGCACCAGAATGCTGGATCGGAGCCTCACCTGCCGAATCCGTCCCGCACCAGAATGCTGAGTGGAGGGGTCGCCGACCAAATCCGTCCTGCACCAAAATGCTGGATCGGAAGGAGATCGGTTGGATGGGAGCCGAATAATTGAGAAGAGCGCCGTGACGAACGCGGGCAGCAACACGTAGGAAGCGGGGCCTGACCAGATGGTTGGCCCTTGCCCCAAGGCGAGCCCGTTGTTCTCGATGGGGCAAGTGGTGGCATCTTCTACGAAGAGGACCGCCCAAGCCCCAGCCACCAACCGGACCAGGAGAAGGACCAGTGTAATCCCAAGGCGCATCAACGATGTTGCAATAGACCCTGGCATGGGGGATGGTTTGCAGGGCGTCGTGAAGGCACTCGCCAGTCACCTTTCTGGCCGCATTTTCCCAGGAACTCTGGTGCCGTGTGCACGCGGCCTGCTGCGCCGAGTCACCACCCTCGTCAGGCGTCGGCGGAGCCCCCGCACGAGACTTGGTCGACGAGCAGCTCTGAGAGGGCGGCAACAACCTCTTCGACGGTACGGTGTCGTGGGTCATCCAGGTGACGTTCCCCGAGAGAACTGCTCGACGAACAGCTCTGAAAGGGCGGCAACAACCTCTTCGACGGCACGGTCTCGTGGGTCGCCGCCCTCGTCCAGGTGACGTTCCGCTCACGGTCGAGATTGACGGCGGCGACGTGTTGGCGGCACTCAACTTCGGCCAGGCTGAACTGTAGACTGGGGCCGCTCGTCGATGGCGGCCTGACGCAAGAGAGGTATCGACATCTCTGTACCGGGGTAGATGAAGCGTAGTGGTCTGAGCACGCAAATGGGCCGGGCATTTTGGCGATTCAAGATGGGGGGGGAGGGCCTCGCTTTCCGCGTGGGAGTGACAGGGAACGCTACACTCAAGAACACAACGCAACTGGGGGCGCGCATGGGCGCCACGACGACTGGGACGGACCAGCGTGCCGCGTCGAGCCGCACGCGCGGCGTCCCATGGAGCGGCCCCGCGGTGCACGCTCCACCAGAACAGCGGGGCTCGGCGGTGGGGCGGTCGGCCTGCGGGTTGAAACGGGCGCAGGGCGCCATGATCGGGCTGATCTTGCGGTGGCCGCAGGAACGCCAAAGCGCACCACGCAGCGGGTCAGGCTGGTCGCGCGAGTCCTCGTCGTAGGCCTGCGCTGCTCGGTCGAAGCCGCCTACTCTCAGGGCCGCCACGAAGGTGTCTTTCCTCGCGAGGTTGGAGTCACGAGCTGGGGCACTGCAGCGGGGCTGCTGAGGCAGGGCGGAGGCTGCGCGACGGTCATGGCACTGGGGTGCGCGGCGCGCAGCGCGGCGAGCACGAGAGCAGGACGATCTACATTTAGGATTGAACTCCCAAATCCCACCAGCCCTCTGGGCGTAGGTGGTCTAGAACAGATCCTCTTCCACCCCTCCCTCTTCCCCCTTGGGGAGGGGTTTACCCCTCCCCCTACCCCCTCCCCTGGACCTGGACGGGGGGGGCCGCGGGTAGTTAGAGCGTCCAAGATGGCCCAAGACGGCTCCAAGAGCGCCTCAGAGAACCCAAGATGAGCTCCAAGATGGCTCAAGATAGCGCAAGATCGCTCACGATGGCTCCTAAGATGGTTCCAAGAAGCCCAAAGACGGCCCCAAGATAACTCCAAGTGGCCAAACAGCTCCCCAAGGAGGCCCCGAAGAGGCCAAAATCGTCCCAAAACCTAAGGAAAATCAATGATTTTTGCTTTCTCGCCTTTTCGCTTCCGATGGCCATCCGAGGCCTGGAGATGGCTCCAAGATGGCCCAAGAGGGCCCCAAGAGAGCCCCAAAAGAGCCCCAAGACGGCCCCAAGAGCGCCCAAGAGCACTCCAAGAGCGTTCCAAGAGGGGTCCAAGAGGCGATTTTAGGGGCTTCCGAGGGGGGACGCTAATTAAACCCCCCCTCTTGTTTGATCGACTCCCTCCAAGATGGCCCCAAAAGCGCCCCGAAGGCTCCCCAGAGCGCCTCAAGAGGGTCCCAAGAGGCGCCCAAGATGCCCCAAGGCGCCCAAAAAGCCCTCCAAGAGGCCCTCAAAAGACCCCCAAGAAGCTCCTTCCCCTCCTCCTCCTCCTCCTCCGATTCTTCCTCCTTCTCCGTCCTCCTCCTCCTCCTCCTCCTCCTCCTCTTCCCCCTCCTCCTCCTCCTCCTCCTCCGACGACGACGACGACGACGACTCCTCTTCCATCCTCCCCCTCTCGGGGTCTGTGACAGCTTCCCCCGCCCTTTGTTATTCTGCATGCTCCCCGACTTCCCTGATCACCTCAACTCCCCTGAGCATCGTTTCTGGATGGGCTGGTGGGGATACGCGAAGCGTCAACAATTCCAGCCTGCCTGGGCTGAGGGAAGGCGCGGGGGGCGGGTCCCCGTGGCCGGCTCACCCACGGAGGGTTCGGGCCCAGGCTGGAAAGAGAGAGAGACAGACAGACAGAGTGACAGAGAGACAGACAGACAGACAGACAGACAGACAGACAGACAGACAGACAGACAGACAGACAGACAGAGAGAGACAGACAGACAGAGAGCCAGAGACAGACAGACAGACAGACAGACAGACAGACAGACAGAGAGAGAGAGACAGACAGACAGAGAGCCAGAGACAGAGACAGACAGAAAGAGAGAGAGATCCTTCACCGTGTCGTGGGGCGTGCTAGAATGCCTGTTAGGTGCCTCGTAGGAGTGTATCATTGTTTCTCCGTTCGAAAAAGAAGCTCCCAACCCTACTTCACTTTGGCATCCAGGCGTCTTTCCGGTCACACGAGGGCCCGAAGACGGCCCAAAATCGCCAAGACGGCTGAAAAATGCCCCAAGAAGCCCAAAGCAGCCAAACAACCTTTCAAAGACCCCAGTGTATCCACAAGAGACCCCAAAATGCCCGCTCCCAGAAGGCATCCAAAGAAGCCTCCGGCGAGGCCCTGACAGGCTAAAGACGATGTAAACACACGGCGGTACGTGTTCTTTGCTTTCAAAGCCTTGCGGCTTGAGATCGCCTCGGGAAAGCTTCGGAGAGCTTCGGAGCGCCCCAAGAAGCCCCTAAGATGGCCCAAACCAGTCCCAAGACAGCCCGACAACCACAAGACGACCAAGGCGACGGTTCAACCGAGCCTTCGGGAGAGCTCGGTAGAGCGCTCAAGACAGCCTCGAGACCCCAAACAGGCCTTCAAGAGGCCTCTAGAAGCCCCCCAGGAGGCCCCCGATAGGGCCCCGGGAGGCACCCAAGAGGCCACAGTAAAGCCCATGAGATCCATCCAGGAAACCACTAAGAACCCCTAGGAGGCAACGCGACAGCCAATGCAACGTTACGGCAGCGACACACTACAGCATCGTAGCACTGCCTGCCCGACTGCACCAACATGGTTCTACAAGGCATTTTCAGGAGCCCGCGGTACAAACATCATGAATAAGCTTCGATGCTGCGCTGGCACGATGGTGAGGCTAGCAGCAGGCAGATTCATACACGTGATGTACAGATGCAGAGAGAGGGAGACATAGAGAAAAAGAGAGAGAGAAAGAGAGAGAGAGAAAGAAAACAAACACAAAAAAAGATAGTGAGAGAGGCGAAGAAGTACTCCAAAGGCGAGAACTCCTCGGACCTGCACAGGGCTCCCTAGATAAGCCGGCAGATGCCAGAAAGTTTGATAAAACGAAAACACCGACCTCACTCTGGGAGCAACTCGAGATGAAGGCCTAATATCACAACATAATTAGAAAGACAGGTGCCTCTGCAACGTGGGTGATGGTCTTCTTGGCATACTGAGACCTGCCTCCTCCTCCTCCGCCACCACATCGTCATCACCCTCCTGTGCATAATCCTCGTCCTCCTCTTCCCGTCCCTGTGCCTCATATTGCTCGTTATCTTCCTCTTCCTATTCCTCTCATCTTCCCCATCCACAACTGCGATTCCAGAAAACATCCTGAGCGAAACATGCATAGTCTCTGCGGGAAAACGCATTATGACCCTCAACCTGCCGTGCACCGTCCAGCAACCTGCTGCATGCCCGGATTTCGATCGTCTTTACTTCGAGGCCATGATCTGTCTCCCCTACGGGCTGCATACCAGTGTCGTCGTCAAGAACGTCGGCATTATTATTCTTATGACCCCCTCATCCTCCACCCCATCCCTCTATGCCCCTCCATCCCCTCCCCATCATCCCCCCCGACCCCCTACCCCGTCCTCTCATCGATTCCTCTTCTCTCTTCCCACTCTCTTGGCCTACTCTGCCCCACCAACTGATGCAGCGCCAAATCTGCCCGTCGCCCCCCTCGAGCACCAAGAGTCGATCACGGCTGTCGGCAGCGCCAGCGAGCGACTGCGGCATGCCCGCGGTGAACTCACGCCAGTCCTCTGGAGAGGAGGGGATGGAGGAGAGATAGAGGGAGGGAGAGAGAATGAGAGAGCGAGAACATAACAGCTATCCTGGCGAAAGACCCAAGCCATATGCGGTTGTGGGTGACGCGCTGGTGAACATCGCCTTCGATGGAACCCCTTGTGGGGCCACGAAACGCGTGAGGGGTATACCGTTATGAACCTGGGGGCGCATGCCGGGCCTTGGGTGGAACTCCCTACGGGGCCACGAAACGTGTGTGGGGTGTGCCGGAATGCGATGAGCCTGTGGACGCATGCGGGCGCTGCCCGCCACTGGGGCCTCCAGTTGAGCTCCCTACTGGGCCACGAAGAGTGTGAGGGGTGTGCTGAAATGGGCTGGGGACGCATGCGAGCTGTGCCACTGGTGCCTTAAATTGAGCTCCCTACGGGGCCACGAAAGATCTGAGGGGTATGCCGGAATGGGCTGAGGGACCGCATGTGGTACCTCCCCCTGGGGTCTTAGTTGGAACTCCCTGTGGGGCCACGAAACGTGTGAGGGGCGTGCCGAAACCGGCAGGAGGATCGCATGCGGTACCCCCTCCACCCGTGGGGCCATAGTTGGAGTTCCCTATGGGGCCACGAAACGTGTGAGGGGTGTGCCGAAATAGGCTGAGGGACTGCATGCGGAACCTGGGAGGAAGGAGAAAGGCCAGGTAAAATGAGATAACTCGTGGCGCCGTCTTTTCAAAATGACTGAGGAAAATACGACGGAGAGAAAGAGAACAGAGAGAGAGAGAGAGAGAAAAAAACAAAACAACAAAAAAAAAAAAAAAAAAAAAAAAAAACGAGGGAAAGATAGAGATAGGAGAGGAAGGGGGAAGAGAAGAGAGAGAGAGAGAGAAAACAAACAAATGCTGGTTGAGAAGCAAGAGAAGACAAGAGGGATCAAGAGATAGGGCTGGTTGGAAAGGAAGATGGGGAGGAGGAGGAGGAGGAAGAGGAGGAGGACTGGAGTAAATCCAAAATGCATCAGCGATGCTTCAATACACCCTCCCGTCCCGAGTCCCCTCCTCATGGGTCCCTACAAACCTTCCTTTCAACTACAAGAAGCTCCCTTTGGAAGACCAGCACCCTATGGGCCCGCCCATCAGGCGAGAGAATAAAAGGAACTGACATGCATACTTCTAACGCGTGATCAAGAATACGGAAACGCACGATCATACAATTCAGCGAGATATCCTGCGAGATACCCGTCTGGGAAAAAGGCTGTAAACGACCGGTCTGCCATGCGGCGGGCGCACCACACCAGCAGACGGGCCAGTCGCTTGCCTTTTTCGGCCGAGGCGCGGCACTCGGTTGCTTGAGCTTGAGCCAACATGGGTACGGTGCTTTGCCCATACCTCTGCGTTGCTCCGTGACCATGCAGGTGCTACTGCTAAGTACCAGGGGTCGGCGGGACGAAGAAGCGGCTGGAAGCCAGCCACACTCCACTCGACGCCTACCCCCCCCCCCTGCGACCTGGATCCAGGAAGCGGCCGGGATCCAGCCACACTCCAGGGGCCAAGTCGCCGGGATAATGCCTAAAGCTGTCCCCGCCATGTGGCAGATGGGCCCCATGGGGCCTCTGCCCTGGACTCGACACCGCCCCGGGGAAAGGGAGCTCAACTCAGTACCGATATAGGTTCAATAACCTACCCCTGCACCACCTATAAGATTTAACCAACCAGTGCAATTCGCGAAGCGAGTTGTATTCACATAGTACACATTGAGAAGAACAAGTGCGAACAACTGCCCCTGAGAGCCTTCGGCAACAGCGCGCCCGAGGGAGATCGTAGCGCTGGCATCTGGCTATTCGCACCAGCACTTCTCTTGTACACGCGGAGGCTTCGAGCGTCGCACTGGCAGAGCAGATTCCGAGCACACTCTTGTCACAAGAGCGGCGGGCGCCACCATTGAGCATGTCACATGTCACTCACAAATTGACGTGTGGGCTACTTAATTAAGTTATTACAAACATACACAACTAGGCCTATGAAGAAATGCATTGAAACATGTATTGTGTGTCACCGCGGGCGCACTGATGTTCGTCTGTTGCCAGACACGGAAATTGCTGCAGTCATCCGTGGGCTAACTTTCACAAAAGACCGCCCCCCTCCAGCGTAACTGTTGCACTAGATTACACTTCTGGTCATGAACTTCGAGGAAATTGCAAGCGAGAGCCAAATTTTGAAAAGAAACCGCCCGCCATCTGTACAGCTGCTGTTGAGAAATCTCAGACGACAGCCCCATGTTAAAAAAACGGCCTCAATCCGGGCAACCGTTGTTCTCTTTCAAGACGAATGTGCGCGCGGCGCTCCGGCGAGAGCCCCATGCCGGCAATGAGCGTTGCAGCAAACGCCAGAAGAGCGCTTCTGGCTATACTTAATTACAACCAATTACACCCAGTTGCACCCGATTACACCCAATTACACCCAGATACACCCAGTTACACCCAGTTACACCCTGTGACACCCAATTACACCCAGATGCACCCACTCACAATTAGTTACACGTAACGTTTTACAAAATTCCACCGAACTGCAGTAAGTCCCAGCTCGGTGCTACAAATGCGTGCCGCACAAATACGCCTGCAATTCATCCGAATGGGACTGCAAGCATCCCTCTCCTCGGAAAGCCTAAGGGAAATTATTACAAAAACAATTGTTTGTAGATAATGCCCACCACCACCACCACCCGCAGCCTCTGGCAACCCGCAAAGGGAATACTTCGACCCTCGATCCTCGTCACATCCTTGGTTCTCGTCCTTCGTTCATATCAAAAACGTCGATCCTCGAAACCCGATTCTCGATCCTCCTGAAAAAGTCGACACTCGATCCTCGTCAACACCTCAGTCTTCGATCTTCGTCCATCGCCACAGCTAGAGGCTCGAAATTGATCCCCGATCATCCTCAAAACGTCGACTGGTTCTCGACCTTCGATCATCGACACAAACTCGAAGCTCGAACCCCTATCCTCGACCGACCCTCCTCCAAACATCGAATCTCGATCTTCGCCAACACTTCGGCTGCCGATCTTCGATCCTCACCAAAACCTCGACCCTCGAATTTCGATCGTCGATCCTCAATGAATATCTCGAAGCTCGATCCTCGCCAAGACATCGATCCTCAAACCTACGCCTCGCTGTCGATCCTGAACCTCGATCCTCTATTCGGTCCGCGCCTAACCGTCGAACCTCGAGCCTACGCCGCACGGTCGATCCTGTAACGTTGCTCCACGTTCAAACTACGATCCTCGAAGCTGAATGCTCGATCCTCGAACAACGATCCCTGCCAACAACTCGGTCATCGAGCCTTGATGTCCGCCAAAATCTAGATCGTGAAATCTCAATCCTGACACCTCGATCCTCGCTCTTCGCCAACCGGTCGGTCTTGAAACCCTCGTTCCTCGTTTATCGATCCTGGCTCAAACGACAATACAATGCACGATCCTCGCCTAGATCAATCCCCGACAGCTCGACCCTGGCAGCTCAGGTATCGATCATGGATCTTCGCCTCACCGTGGATCTCGCAAAAAACTCAAAACTGTCAGCTCGACTCTCGAGCCTGCCATAGTCGGCATCCTCGTCCGCATCGCCGTCATCATTATCGACATCGTCATGGTTGTCATCATCGTTGTCCTCCTCCTCCTCCCCCTCCTCCCCCTCCTCCTCGCCCTCCTCCCCCTCCTCCTCCTCACGGTGCCGACGCGCCCCAGTCGTCATCCTCGCGGTGCCGACGCCCCCGACGTTTCCAAAACGCCGCCAGGAGGCCTCCGACGGGACCACCCATCCTCTCCCCCCGTGTGCCCCCTCTCCCTCCTGCCTCCCTCCTGCCGACTTCCCGGCGCCCTCCCATTCTCCATTCCCCCTCCTTGCTCACTCCCCGTCCTCCTCCCGCGCCTCATCCTTCCACGCCTCCCTCGCCCCTCCACAAAGTGAGTCCCGATAGTGCGGTGCGGGTGGAGGTCAAAATCTGGCCTTCGCGTGTCGCACGCGGCGACCGCATCACGCGATGCGACTGAGGCGAAGCTCCCGTAATTGCCATTATCCTTCCTTGCTGACCGGGTCAACTTGAGCCAGATGTTGATTCGGTGATGCAAATCGGCTGGTCTAACAGGGACTTTCCGCGCTTGCCAGGCTGCACGACGACGCCCCTCTTCAGGACCCACTTGTACTTCCGGACCATTCCCAGGTGAACAAGAACTGCGCGTCTCAATGTTCGCGCCAAAACGGTTTTTTGGGGGGGGATGCCAAGGGGCAAGGCGTTTAGGTACGAACTCGGACACACCATTTCCATGCCATCCCCAGCTTCTCCACAGAAATCGTGTCCGAATTCGCACTTAAACGCCACCCCCTGGCATCCCAAAGCCGTTTTGGCACGAACACAATGGGGCGCGCAGTTCTTGTGCAGCTGGGAATGGCCCTGAAGTGCAAGCGGATCCTAAAGAGGTGCGGGATCGTCTGGCCTGGCAAGTGCAGAAAACCCTTGCTAGACCTGCACACTTGCATCGACATCAGGGTCAAATTCAAATGGCCAGCCAGCGGGGGAAGAGGGCAACTGGGAGAACCTCGCCTTTGTCGCATCCAGCACTGCGGTCGCCGCAGGCGAGTTGGGTACGCCAAGTCCTCCACCCAAAACATGGGCACTGACCTAGCAGAAGGATGAGGGAGGCAGGGAATGAAGAGGCTAGGAGGAAAGGGAAGGAGAGGAACGAGGGGGGGAATCGGAGAATGGGAGAGTGGCAGGACGGAGGCAGGAGGGAGGGGGGAAGAGGTGAGGAGAGGATGATTGATCCCTCGGGCTGACCTGGAGGCCTCTGGGACACGTCGGGAGGCGTCGGCACCGCGAGGACGATCATGACGATGACGACGATGACGACGGCGACGACGACGACGACGACGACGACGACGACGACGGCGACGGCGACGACGACGATGACGAAAATAAACGTGACAACTAGCACCAGTGCACAATCTCGTTTCTGGTCGTGGTCTCTGGTGGTGGGCCGTCGTGGTTTTTGGTCGTGGCCCGTCGTAGTCTCTGGTCGCGGGCCCTGCCTCTGGCCTCTGGACGTGATGTCGGGTCGTGAAATCGTGCGGCTAGTGCAGGATCGAGTGAATGGTGCATCACACGATGCCACTGTCGATGGATAAGAATGACAATCATAGACCTCGCGTGCGCACGGTGATGGGATAACTACTATCCGCCGTCGTGCCTCTGGCACGCAGTGGAGTGCCCCAAGGCCCATGCTGCACTGGGGGTGCGACAGGGAGGAGTTAGCGTCAAGGAAGAGGGATGGAAGAGGAGGAGGAGACATAATGAGGCAGGATGAAGACGGTAGGAGTAGAGGGAAGAAGACAGAGGGGGGAGAAAGAAGGAGGGAGGAGGAAGGACGGAGGAGGGGCGAGGGAGAAGGAAGGGCAGGGAGAAGGTAAAAAAAGAAAAGGGGAAGAGGGAGAGATTGAGGCAGGGGGAGGGGCCAAGGGCATCAGTCACATGTAACTGCCACCTGCTTCCACCCCACACTCGCTGCGCCCAGTCTGCGGGCATACGTGACTCCTACCTGAGCTCCGTGAGCGGAATGCATGCGAGCTACCTGCGAACGAGAGAGGTGCGACTTACGCAAAGCATGCGAGCATGCGAGATGTCCGCAGGCCAACACAGAACATGCGAGCTGCCTGCACTTGAACACAGACAGCATGGGAGCATGGAAGCATGGAGTGGTGTGGAAGGCGGGGCGGAGAGGGGAGCTGGAGGGTACGGCCTCATTTGGGAGACCGCGCGCCCGCCCCACACGCGCTGAGCAGCATGCCGACGAGGTCACGCCCGAGCTCTTGTGAGTCTGCCGGCCCCAGCCGCTGGAGCAGGGGCGTCCTGTGAGACTCATCCAGCGTCTGCCCCGC